AGGGCAAAAAAGTCAAAGGAGAAAAATGGTAAGAAAGTCCGCTTGGAATGCTATGCTTCATTGTCTTCCATATCTGTTGGATAGTGGTAATTTGTGGGAATGTTTGACATTCACAAGGTTAGCTGTAGTGATCAGGAGTGTGAATTAAGCAACAAAAGCTTAATTCTGTGTTTGAAGTTGACGACCAGGACAAAATCTTGTGGGTATCAAACATTGTCTCAGAATCTGTTGCTGTGTGTTGGTGATTAGTGTTGCTTTATCTGAAGACAGAATGAAGTCCATATTCATCTCCAGAATTCCCCATGCGGGTTCCGGGGTCCCACAAGCATGTCGTGAGAGTTGACTAATTGGGAGCTTACTTCTTAGTTGGAGTGTGTCTGCCTGAGAAGCAAGGAACCAACAGTCTGTATACAAATAAGTAAGATCTGTCAAATGGATGCACATGCAAAATTCAGGTCCTGGAACAAACCCAAACAACCAGGTCTTTCTGCCAGGGTTTACAGCCCGTGAACATAAACAACATCATCTCCAGAATGTTGTTGTCCGGTAACTTGTAACATCTAAATTAATCTGTGCACTGAAGGAATAAATCAAGAGTTGCCATCCTTGCACTCAGGACATTCCCACACATGCTCTGTCTCCTTCATCAGAAGCCAACAAAAAGTTTATTTACAGGTGGCAGTGCAAGTATATGTACAATCCCAAATGACTTGTGTGGCTTCATTGTGTCTGTGTTTTTAGCTTCTCTCTTGGCTGTGACGTCACATCAGCTTTTCCAAATCATACCTGTCATCAGAAAAATCAGCTGCTAGTAGAGTGTGTGGAATATTCACTGTTCCATGTCCGGTAGAGTGTGTGGAGCATTCACTGTTCCATATATGGTAGAGTGTGTGGAGCATTCACTGTTCCATATACAGTAGAGTGTGTGGAGCATTCACTGTTCCATATACAGTAGAGTGTGTGGAGCATTCACTGTTCCATATACAGTAGAGTGTGTGGAGCATTCACTGTTCCATATACGGTAGAGTGTGTGGAGCATTCACTGTTCCATATACAGTAGAGTGTGTGGAGCATTCACTGTTCCATATACAGTAGAGTGTGTGGAGCATTCACTGTTCCATATATGGTAGAGTGTGTGGAGCATTCACTGTTCCATATACGGTAGAGTGTGGAGCATTCACTGTTCCATATACGGTAGAGTGTGTGGAGCATTCACTGTTCCATATACGGTAGAGTGTGTGGAGCATTCACTGTTCCATATATGGTAAAGTGTGTGGAGCATTCACTGTTCCATATACGGTAGAGTGTGTGGAGCATTCACTTTTCCATATACGGTAGAGTGTGTGGAGCATTCACTGTTCCATGTCCGCTGATGCCATCACTAGATCAGACAGCTGGTGGTAGAGTGTGTGGTGGAGCATTCACTGTTCCATGTCTGCTCATGCCATCACTGGGTCAGATAGCTGCTGGTAGAGTGTGTAAAACATTCACTGTTCCATGTCCGCTGATGCCATCACTGGGTCAGACAGCTACTAGTAGAGTGTGTGGTGGAACATTCACTGTTCCATGTCTGCTGATGCCATCACTAGGTCAGACAGCTGGTGGTAGAGTGTGTGAAACATTCACTGTTCCATGTCTGCTGATGCCATCACTGGGTTAGACAGCTGCTGGTAGAGTGTGTGAAACATTCACTGTTCCATGTCTGCTGATGCCATCACTAGGTCAGAGCCAGATATAAATACAATAACTGTTTTTAATTTATTATTTCCTGACTTTCTTTTTAATTGTTTCTGTCTGTCAAGAGTTAGTCTTATCTTGTTTATATGATTGTAGGTCTGTCCAGAGTTAGTCTTATCTTGTTGAAATGATTAAAGGTCTGTCAAGAGTTGGTGACATCTTGTTGATGTGATTGTAGGTCTTTCAAGAGTTAGTCTTATCTTGTTGACTTGATTGTAGGTCTGTCAAGAGTTAGTGACATCTTGTTAATATGATTGTAGGTCTTTCGAGAGTTAATCTTATCTTGTTGAACGAACAAACGAACAGACTTTATTTTCAAAGGGTTACAAATTGGGCACGCAGGCCCGTCTGATATTCGGCCCTTCTAAGTACTCATTTTTCAGAGTACCAATACCTGTTATCAATAATGCATGTTATGGATTTAATAAAGAAATATAAATTATAGTATAATGCATACACACATCATGTGTACACAATCGTACACACTCACACACACACGTATACATACTTCTATGTTCTCATACATGCAAACTCATATACAGACATACATGATACATACACACATGCATCTACATACACATACAAGCAAACACATACACTGACATAAATGCACAAACAGAAAACACACACACATACATTTATTGATATACATACACACACACATTCCATACATACTGATCTATACATGCACCCATGCATACACACATTTACAATCACATGTACAGACACCAACATATGCCCAAAACCACACATTTACACTTATATATGATATGATATATTACACTTAATATGATTGTAGGTCTGTCAAGAGTTAGTCTTATCTTGTTGATATGATTGTAGGTCTGTCAAGAGTTAGTGACATCTTGTTGATATGATTGTAGGTCTGTCAAGAGTTAGTGGCATCTTGTTGATATGATTGTAGGTCTGTCAAGAGTTAGTGACATCTTGTTGATATGATTGTAGGTCTGTCAAGAGTTAGTGACATCTTGTTGATATGATTGTAGGTCTGTCAAGAGTTAGTCATATCTTGTTGATATGATTGTAGGTCGGCCAAGAGTTAGTGACATCTTGTTGATATGATTGTAGGTCTGTCAAGAGTTAGTGGCATCTTGTTGATATGATTGTAGGTCTGTCAAGAGTTAGTGACATCTTGTTGATATGATTGTAGGCCTGTCAAGAGTTAGTGACATCTTGTTGATATGATTGTAGGTCTGTCAAGAGTTAGTCTTATCTTGTTGATATGATTGTAGATCTGTCAAGAGTTAGTCTTATCTTGTTGATATGATTGTAGGTCGGTCAAGAGTTAGTCTTATCTTGTTGATATGATTGTAGGTTTGTCAAGAGTTAGTCTTATCTTGTTGATATGATTGTAGGTCAGCCGACATGTGGGGCCTGGGATGCCTGATATGGGAAGTATTCAATGGAGCTCTACCCCGTACAGCCTCACTGAAGTCTCCTGGCAAGGTACTGTGTTCACTAGTTTTATTATTTTCCTGAGACCATCATACGGATGTTACATGCCTGTTCAGGCAGTAGATATAGACGACTTCCTGGAGGAACTCTCCACATTTTTCAACATGCCCTACTTGATGTTTCTTAGTTCCACATCACTGATCATTTATTCTTTGTTTCACATCACTGATAATTTATTCTTTGTTTCTAATTACTGATCATTTATTATTTGTTTCGCATCACTGGTCATTTATTCTTTTTTCCACATCACTGATCATTTATTATTTGTTCCACATCACTGATCATTTATTCTTTGTTCTACATAACTGATCATTTATTCTTTGTTCCACATCACTGATCATTTATTCTTTGTTCCACATCACTGATCATTTATTCTTTGTTCCACATCACTGATCATTTATTCTTTGTTCCACATCACTGATCATTTATTCTTTGTTCCGCATCACTGATCATTAATAGACAATGAGTAATCCTGAATTGATAGGGACTGTGCCTTCTGTTATTTACCACCCACACAATAAAAATTTACGGACAATTGACAGAAGCAGTGAGAGTAACAGTGAGCAATCCCATTTTGTGCAGAGAAAAAGAGCATGTTGTAAATTAGAAAATTCCTTAGTCATCACACACAATTTTATTGAGGGGATGTATAGTGTAACTGGAGAAGATAATGTGGTTTGTGTATTTCAGTGGAATGGGTATTTTTTTAATGTTCTTGTATTATGTGTCCCTGTCACTCCATGTTAATGCACTTGAATATATCAAGCCAACAATGCCAGTTAATGCACTTGAATATATAAAGCCAACAATGCCAGTTAATGCACCTGAATATATCAAGCCAACAATGCCAGTTAATGCACTTGAATATATAAAGCCAACAATGCCAGTTAATGCACCTGAATATATCAAGCCAACAATGCCAGTTAATGCACTTGAATATATAAAGCCAACAATACCAGTTAATGCACCTCAATATATCAAGCCAACAATGCCAGTTAATGCACTTGAATATATCAAGCCAACAATGCCAGTTAATGCACCTCAGTATATCAAGCCAACAATGCCAGTTAATGCACCTCAATATATCAAGCCAACAATGCCAGTTAATGCACCTCAATATATCAAGCCAACAATGCCAGTTAATGCACCTCAATATATCAAGCCAACAATGCCAGTTAATACACCTCAATATATCAAGCCAACAATGCCAGTTAATGCACCTCAATATATCAAGCCAACAATGCCAGTTAATGCACCTCAATACATCAAGCCAACAATGCCAGTTAATGCACCTGAATATATCAAGCCAACAATGCCAGTTAATGCACCTGAATATATCAAGCCAACAATGCCAGTTAATGCACCTGAATATATCAAGCCAACAATGCCAGTTAATGCACTTGAATATATCAAGCCAACAATGCCAGGTAATGCACTTGAATATATCAAGCCAACAATGCCAGGTAATGCACTTGAATATATCAAGCCAACAATGCCAGGTAATGCACTTGAATATATCAAGCCAACAATGCCAGGTAATGCACTTGAATATATCAAGCCAACAATGCCAGTTAATGCACCTCAATATATCAAGCCAACAATGCCAGGTAATGCACTTGAATATATCAAGCCAACAAGCCAGGTAATGCACTTGAATATATCAAGCCAACAATGCCAATTAATCATTTGTACAGTGTATTTTGTGTGTTTTATCTAAATTCACTATGAGAAAATACTTTTGATGAACAATGATCTTTTTCCTGTTGACAAAGCTGACTAAATGTTTGCAGATCCCCCAAAGTCTCATAGCCAACTACTGTGAGTTGGTCAGTGCCAATCCTCGCTCTCGTCCGAACCCAGCCAAGTTTATCGAAAACTGTCGACAGAAGGGAGGCTTCATGAGGAATACCTTCGTGGATTCCATGATGTTTCTAGAGGAGATTCAGGTTTGTTTCTCGTTGGCACATTTTGATACTTCAACTGGAATCTGTTCCACGAGATTCAGCATTTTAATCCTAAACATTCATGATTCTGCCTGAAATGCTGAATTATGTGGGTCGTTCTGAAGAATCCACAGATGTTTGACTTCTTTTGTGGCTCTTAAATATTTAGAGCATTTTTTTCCAGGTTTTAAATATTAAAGAATATGAAGTTTAATTTGGTTACAGTTCAAATTGTGATTCCGTGTTTGATTTTTTTTTAAAAAACATAGCTCAGCATAGAATCCTTGTGGAATGTCCTCTTGTGTGCTCATGGTATGCAGACATTTATCATAATGTTTCCCTGTGAGTACAAAATTTGCAGATATTGATCATTATGTTCTCGTACGTTTACATGAAATGTAGATATTGATCATAATGTTCTCGTACGTGTACATGAAATGTAGATATTGATCATTATGTTCTCGTACGTGTTCATAATATGCAGATATTGATCATTATGTTCTCGTACATGTACATAATATGCAGATATTGATCATTATGTTCTCGTACATGTACATAATATGCAGATATTGATCATTATGTTCTCGTACATGTACATGAAATGTAGATATTGATCATTATGTTCTTGTACATGTACATGAAATGCAGATTTTGATCATACTGTCCTCATGTGTGTACGAGGTATGCAGACAGTAATTGCATTGCCGACATGTGTGCACATGAAATGCAGACAGTAATTACATTGTTCACTTTTGTGCACATGAAATGCAGACTGTAATTACATTGTTCACTTGTGTGCACATGAAATGCAGACAGTAATTACATTGTTCACTTGTGTGCACATGAAATGCAGACAGTAATTACATTGTTCACTTGTGTGCACATGAAATGCAGACAGTAATTACATTTTCCACTTGTGTGTACAAGGTATGCAGACAGTAATTACATTTTCCACTTGTGTGTACGAGGTATGCAGTCATTAATTACATTTTCCACTTGTGTGTACAAGGTATGCAGACAGTAATTACATTTTTCACTGGTGTGTACAAGGTATGCAGATAGTAATTACATTGTATACAGGAAGAAATGTAAAGTGTGGATCTGTTAATGGTGCTATATTATCAGCAGTTACATCATTTTGTGAGCTAATGCCTGAGTAGACTTGAACACAAGACCACTGGGTTAGTAGGCAAGGGATTAATATAGTTGTTAAATTGCAGTCTCACATTGGGTGTGTCACTGATCTTCTATCCCAGGTTTTCACCTGGAGCCTGGTAGAATGACCATCAATAATGAACAAAGTAACAAATAATACCTATTGAATATTTCTATATTTAGATCAAAGACCAGGCAGAAAAGAACAAATTTTTTGCCAGCCTGACACCGTCACTGGACACCTTCCCGTCACAGTTCTGTCGCAACAAAATCCTGCCCCAGTTGCTCAATGCCTTTGAATATGGAAATGCAGGCTCTTCAATTCTTGCTCCCATGTTTAAGGTAAGCATTTTCCCCTCTCTGTCTTTCTCATGATTATGCTTCTGTTTCATGTACTTTTTTTTTTGTCTTTCTGTCTCTCTTTTGCTTTTATTTCTGTATCATTTACTTTTTTCTGTTTTTCTGTTTTAATTGTCTTTTTCACTGTCATTGTTGTTATCTCTCATCACACCCTTAGATTGCTCACATCATCTTATGCCTGTGTCTTTCCTTTATTTCTGTGAGTGCTAATCACTACTAATAAATTGAGTTCTCCCAGTTGTAATGGCCTCAAGGTTTCCCTAGCTTACGAGAATTCTTTGTATCATCTGTAGAAAACTTAGTGCTTGAGAGGGTAGTGTTTGGGAGCATATCAACATCTCTAAACAATAGGTATACTAATGTAGGGTGGACAAAAACAATAGGTATACTAATGTAGGGTGGACAAAAACAATAGGTATACTAATGTAGGGTGGACAAAAACAATAGGTATACTAATGTAGGGTGGACAAAAACAATAGGTATACTAATGTAGGGTGGACAAAAACAATAGGTATACTAATGTAGGGTGGACAAAAACAATAGGTATACTAATGTAGGGTGGACAAAAACAATAGGTATACTAATGTAGGGTGGACAAAAACAATAGGTATACTAATGTAGGGTGGACAAAAACAATAGGTATACTAATGTAGGGTGGACAAAAACAATAGGTATACTAATGTAGGGTGGACAAAAACAATAGGTATACTAATGTAGGGTGGACAAAAACCAAGCTTACAACTAATCACTATCAAGTGCCATCCCCAGACAGAAGGTCGGCTCTTATATGTGTCCGACATCACTATCAATTTTCGACAAAAGGAAATAAAACTGGTCAGACGGCAGACCACATTGAGCAGAAGTATTCCCGTAAAGATCCAGAGAAGGCCTGAACTGAGAAATCCATAGTACACTGTCAGGAGGACATGGGTGAATGAGCCTGAGAGAACTTGAACAGTCCTTACCTGCACAGGACTACAGGTGACACCTGGTTGATGTAGCTGTTACATGTGCCCTAATTATTGCTACTGTGGAGGTTGAACAGGGTATCTGCGATCTGTCTTGTTGGTCTGTCGTCTAGATTGAGATTTGTACATTTCAGGATTGTGTGGTAAACCTTAAGGTTTTAGTAGGAACAAATCAATTGATCAAAAACACTTGAATCACAAAGATTCTGGCAGTATTGGGGAGTCTAGAGAGAAATGCAATGCATTGTGATACGGACAGGTACCTCACAGACTTTGGGAACAAAGTGTCAAGAATATTTTAAAAAAAAAACAGTGATACCTTCAGGTTTAGCTGTAAAGTATTTGGGAAACAACATTGTTTTCTCCTTTACTTTAATGTTTGGGAGTTTCTGCAAGTGTTTCTAGCCTCTTTAAATGCACCAGCTTGGCAATGTGTCTCTGAGTGTTTTACTATTCATGAATTGTTTCATTTAATGTTGATTCATATTTTAGATTGGAAAGCTCTTGGATACAGATGAGTATCAACGAAAAATAGTCCCGTGTGTGGTGAAACTGTTCTCGTCTCCCGACAGGGCAACCAGGGTGAAACTACTTCAGCAGGTCAGACATCTTTCTGTGTCTAGGATGGCAGATGTTTACATGTGGTCTCAGTATTTTACAACTGTAATGTTTCATACATGAGTCAGTCTGGGAAGCTTGCACTACTTTATGGGGTACTGGAGAAACTGTGTTAGATCAGTGGTCCCCAACTGTAATGTTTCATACATGAGTCAGTCTGGGAAGCTTGTCCTACTTTATGGGGTTCTGGAGAAACTGTAGATCAGTGGTCCCCAACATTTTTCAAGTTGCGCCCCCTCCCCCTTTTTTGAGTTTTATGTCGTCAAGACCCCCACAGCCCCTTTGAGTATATGGCAAGGTTTCCATGCCACCCCCCCCCCCCACCCCGAGCATAACAAAATGTGATTAAATAAGAGGGAAACAGACAGTATGTATTTTGGTCAGAATGTGTTCTTAATCTATAACTTTGTGCCTGTGTTATCAAATTAATTTCACTGTAGATAAACAAACTAGAACTCATTAACCAACATAGTGTTGTTGCGCCAGTTAGAATTCATTAAGCACCATAGTATTGTGTTGCCAGTTGGAACTTATAAACATTGTGTTGTGTTGCCAGTTAGAACTCATTAACTAACATTGTGTTGTGTTGCCATTTAGAACTAATTAACTAACATTGTGTTGTGTTGCCATTTAGAACTAATTAACTAACATTGTGTTGTGTTGCCAGTTAGAACTCATTAGCTAACATTGTGTTGTGTTGCCAGTTATAACTCATTAACTAACATTGTGTTGTGTTGCCAGTTATAACTCATTAACATTGTGTTGTGTTGCCAGTTAGAACTCTTTAACTAACATTGTGTTGTGTTGCCAGTTATAACTAATTAACTAACATTGTGTTGTGTTGCCATTTAGAACTAATTAACCAACATTGTGTTGTGTTGCCAGTTATAACTAATTAACTAACATAGTGTTGTGTTGCCAGTTATAACTAATTAACTAACATTGTGTTGTGTTGCCAGTTAGAACTCTTTAACTAACATTGTGTTGTGTTGCCAGTTAGAACTAATTAACTAACATTGTGTTGTGTTGCCATTTAGAACTAATTAACTAACATTGTGTTGTGTTGCCAGTTAGAACTCATTAGCTAACATTGTGTTGTGTTGCCAGTTATAACTCATTAACTAACATTGTGTTGTGTTGCCAGTTAGAACTCTTTAACTAACATTGTGTTGTGTTGCCAGTTATAACTCATTAACTAACATTGTGTTGTGTTGCCAGTTAGAACTCTTTAACTAACATTGTGTTGTGTTGCCAGTTAGAACTAATTAACCAACATTGTGTTGTGTTGCCAGTTAGAACTCATTAACTAACATTGTGTTGTGTTGCCAGTTAGAACTCATTACCTAACATTGTGTTGTGTTGCCAGTTATAACTCATTAACATTGTGTTGTGTTGCCAGTTAGAACTCTTTAACTAACATTGTGTTGTGTTGCCAGTTATAACTAATTAACTAACATTGTGTTGTGTTGCCATTTAGAACTAATTAACCAACATTGTGTTGTGTTGCCAGTTATAACTAATTAACTAACATTGTGTTGTGTTGCCAGTTATAACTAATTAACTAACATTGTGTTGTGTTGCCAGTTAGAACTCTTTAACTAACATTGTGTTGTGTTGCCAGTTAGAACTAATTAACTAACATTGTGTTGTGTTGCCAGTTATAACTAATTAACTAACATTGTGTTGTGTTGCCATTTAGAACTAATTAACCAACATTGTGTTGTGTTGCCAGTTAGAACTAATTAACTAACATTGTGTTGTGATGCCAGTTAGAACTCATTAACTAACATAGTGTTGTGTTGCCATTTAGATCTAACTAACCAACATTGTGTTTGTTGTGTTGCCAGTTAGTACTTATTAACCAACATTGTGTTATGTTGCCAGTTAGAACTCATTAACCAGTATTGCATTGTGTTGCCAGGTGGAGTTCTTCATAGAACACCTACAGAGTGATGTCGTCAATGAGAAGATCTTTCCCAACATAAATACTGGCTTCATGGACACCAATCCTGTGGTTCGGGAGAGCACAATCAAGGTATAATATTGTGTACTACCTATCACATGGTCAGTGTGTGTGTGTGTGTGTGTGTGTTAAAACATGTATTACAGGGTGCAAAAGATGGGGATGTGAATGTCAGTTTTCTAGAATCACAGATCAGGTCAGTGTTCTTGTTTCACTCCGTCTGTATGGCCAAGTCTTCCAGGTATTTATCTCTTTGCTTTCCTTTTGCTCTTTCCATCAATCTTGCCAGTAGTCACCAAGTTCTCGAGTCCGTTCCTTCACATCAACGTCCAAAACACCCTGATTGTCTGCGTCTGATGTCTTTAATCAGTTTATGGTCTGTCTCTAGGACAAATGCCTCGTTTTCTGTTTTTTCCATCCCTGACATTCCTGACATGGTTAGCGGGGTAGGGGTATCCCCTATCAAAGGAGAAGTAAGACGCCTCCTTTCCTCCGCTAGTCTACGGGACACCCTTGGGCAAGGTGGAGTACCCGTTTAGCCCCCCAATCAGGGTTACGTGAAGCCATGGAAGCAGGTGGTGGATGGAGTGTAAGAGCAGCCGACAGGTATTGTTGGTTATGGTCTGCACTCTGCGGCGATAGGCAGATGATCTCATCAGTAGAGACAATGGCTATGGCCACCGACTAGTATAGTCACTGCTCAGGAGGAAAGCAATGGCAAACTACCTTCTGCAAATTTTGCCAAGAACCCATAACAATCATGAACAACTGAATAAATTATGGAATTGTACAGATAGAATTACAAAGGTCAGATTTTTAAGAGCATGCATCTTTCCCATTGCAACATACGCCTGTGAGACCTGGACACTTACTAAACAAGCGGAACAGCGCATAAATGCATTTGAATATAAATGTTACAGACAGGTTCTAAGAATATCTTGGGTAAAGAAAAGAACAAATGCATCCATACTTCAAGAGCTGAATATTGAAGAGGGTTGGCTAGTAAAGACAATAAAACAAAGAAAATTGAAATATTTTGGTCACTTGAAACGTCATGGAGGTCTAGAGAGAACAATAATGGAGGGGTATATGCCTGGGAAGAGAGGAAGAGGAAGGCCAAGGAGAAGATGGGTGCAGGATGTGGCAGATGATCTCCAGATGGGTGTATCAGACGCAGGACATCTTGCTCATGATAGGAAGGTTTTCCGGAGGGTTGTTATGGCAGCGAGGTTCCGCGAGGGACATGCTACTGAATGAATGAATGACATTCCTTGCATTCTTCTCAAAAACCCTATCTCTGCTGCTCGTCAATGTTTTTTCAACTTGTCTGCTTATTGACAATGTTCCATGTGCATATAAATAGACATATTTTATTTTATTTACACAATTTTGTCTTATTGCAGTCAACATCACCAGATAGTTTCAGGTATAAACCTGGAACATAACAGAGTATTAAATTACAGAAATATTGAACTTTCTGGGAAAGAGAGGCTGTAAGGAAAGGAACTGGTCATTTAACATGATGATGCTGGGATTAGTGTCAATCAAAGTGAACTCTCACATCATGGAAACAGTTTTTGTCACATAAATGACCATGACCTTCTGTTAAACAGATAGAAAGAAGAAAATGGGGAATGTTTGAGGTTACAGCATAAGAACTCATTAACCATCATTGTGTTGTGTTGCCAGTTAGAACTCATTAACCATCATTGTGTTGTGTTGTGTTGCCAGTTAGAACTCATTAACTATCGTTGTGTGGTGTTGTGTTGCCAGTTAGAACTCATTAACCATCATTGTGTGGTGTTTTGTTGCCAGTTAGAACTCATTAACCATCATTGTGTTGTGTTGCCAGTTAGAAATCATTAACCACGGCCAGCTCTAGCGGTAAGGCCAGACGGGTTACTGTATAGCTTGATGTTGATGTTTTCTTGATCTTGATATTACATGTTAGTTTCAGCTTTGTTAGTGTGTCTTGATAATTGGTGTCTGATGGTAGTTATGGATAATGGTATTATCTGTATGGCTGATGTTAGTATGATCTTGATTATTGTTATTGGTGCAATCTTGATAATTGATGTTAGAGAGCTTGTATGGATGTCAGTATAGCCTTAATAACCATTGTCAGTGTAATCTTGATGATGATAACTGATGTGATTATCCCATGAGATGCTTCGTGTCTGCAGGCCATGCTTCACCTGGCTTCAAAATTGAACTACAAGAACTTGAACGAAGAGCTGATGAAGCAGTTTGCCAGACTCCAGGCCAAAGATGATCAGGTGACTGGTCTCATTCTGTTTAAGGTGTTAGGAGTTTGCACTGCTTGATAACAGTATGTGGTGTTCACAGTTTGAGCTGTCTGTTACTGTCTGGGGTGTTCACAGTTTGAGCTGTCTGTTACTGTCTGGGGTGTTCACCGTTTGAGCTGTCTGTTACTGTCTGGGGTGTTCACCGTTTGAGCTGTCTGTTACCGTCTGGGTAAGCTTCACTTGCAACAGTATGTAGTGTTCACAGTTTGAGCTGTCTGTTACTGTCTGGGGTGTTTACATTTTGAGCTGTCTGTTACTGTCTGGGGTGTTCACCGTTTGAGCTGTCTGTTACCGTCTGGGTAAGCTTCACTTGCAACAGTATGTAGTGTTCACAGTTTGAGCTGTCTGTTACTGTCTGGGGTGTTCACAGTTTGAGCTGTCTGTTACTGTCTGGGGTGTTCACAGTTTGAGCTGTCTGTTACTGTCTGGGGTGTTCACAGTTTGAGCTGTCTGATACTGTCTGGGGTGTTCACAGTTTGAGCTGTCTGATACTGTCTGGGGTGTTCACCAGGGTGTTTTGTCCATGTCTGGAGAGACTGCAGATGTGAGTGTATTTGTCAGGCAGTAGTAGACTTGACAGTTTCTCATCGACCACCAACTAATCTTTGTCGCAATGTGTTCGTCCATTATAAAGAGACTGATCGCACTACAAGATCATACTTGGCATGGTGTGTTAAGTTACACTACTCGTAGACAATGTTATTGATTACAACAGGTTACGTGTGCCTGGATTATAGCTGTGGTGTTCTGTTGGGTTGGGCGGCCATTACTCCAGTTATAATCGCCATCAGCATGTGCCGTGCCAGTGAGATTGAGCAGCCATGAGAGAATCCTATGTGTTTGTAAGACAGACAGAAATTTATATACAAATCCCCCAGATACTTGGCAAGCGTGCAGCACATCCCCCGACCGCATGCGTCAGTTACATAGGCAGAAAGTATATGTCTAAGCGTGGGTATTGTTGTACACATGTATTGTTGTACACAAGCAGTAATGTTTGTACGTTTGTACATAGACATAAAGTATGTCTTCCAAGTGTGTGTGTTGTTTTACATGAGCAATAACTACATATGTGTTGTGCTCACCTTGGCACTGTCATGATTGATTGTTCTCTTGAATTCCACAGGGAGGTATTCGAACAAACACCACAGTCTGCCTGGGAAAAATTGCTGGATACATCAATCCTAGCGTATGTTTTGTTTGTTTGAGTCTTTGATGTGAGATGGTGTTTGGTCACATAATTGTTGGTGTGGAAGGATATATGTGTGGTCACATAGTTGTTGATGTGTGTGCATTTGGTGTGAAAGAATAAGCGTGTGGTTACATAGTTGTTGGTGTGTGTGTCTTTAGTGTGGGACGGTATGTGTGTGGTCACATGGTTGTTGGTGTGTGTGTCTTTAGTGTGGGATGGTATGTGTGTGGTCACATGTTGGTTAGTGCCTGGGGGTTCGTAACGAAAGCCAATGAAAAATCATTAGTGCAGGACAGCCTAGCATATGATACCACAACATTTAGCATGAGAATGGAAGTGGAAGTGGTCAGTGCATCTATATGGTGGCTGGAGAACAAGATGCATACACATGTTGTAATTGTAACAGACTCTGAAAGCATGCTGAGAAAAGTTGAGAGAGGGTTGCTTCGGGCAGAGTGGCAAGCTTCACTTGGAAGGTCACGGTAGTGAGCATACTTTGGATCTTTTCTCCAGGCTATGCCGGCGTGGTAGGTAATGAACAGGCAGACAGATTGGCTGGATCTGTACCACTGGGTGGTTAATTGATACATGACAAGGCAGATGTGGTCAAGACCCTTTAGGGACAAGTTACAAAGTCGGAAGAGAAACTGGATGGCCTGGGCAGAATGATGCAGTTGAGTGTGACCAGAGGGTCTGGCTGGCTCACTACACTCGGAGGAAAGGCAAGGCAGGTATATAACCAGACTACGATTGGTACCATTAGTATTGGAAATCTGTGCTGACTGCTGAAGATAGGGATGGAGCATATATGGGAATGCTGTGATATCAATTCTTATCTCAACTCAACTCAGTCATTAATGTGTTGCCTTTGGTGTGGGAGGGTGTAAGTGTGGTCGCATTGTGGGTAGTATGTGTACCTTTTAAGTGGAAGTATATGTGTGGTCATATAGTGGTGTGCATGCCTTTGGTGTGGGAGGGTATGTGTGTGGTCACATAATGAATAATGTGTGTGCCTTTGGTGTGGAAGGGTATGGGTGTGGTCACATAATGAATAATGTGTGTGCCTTTGGTGTGGGAGGGTATGTGTGTGGTCACATAGTGAATAATGTGTGTGCCTTTGATGTGGGAGGGTATGTGTGTGGTCACATAGTGGATAATGTGTGTGCCTTTTGGTGTGGGAGGGTATGTGTGTGGTCACATAGTGGATAATGTGTGTGCCTTTGGTGTGGGAGGGTATGTGTGTGGTCACATAGTGGATAATGTGTGTGCCTTTGGTGTGGGAGGGTATGTGTGTGGTCACATAGTTGTTATGTGTATGCCTTTGGTTAGTCACTATTTATGTTGTAAAGAATGTATTTTGGTTATATAAATAATTAGTGGAAATCCTTGAAGTTTTGGCAGTAACTACAGTATGAAGACCTTAACCTTTGATCGTTCTCAGATTCGACAAAAAATCCTGTGCTCAGCTTTCGTGCGGGCACTGAAAGACCCCTTCCCTCCAGCCAGGCAGGCTGGGATCTTGGGAATGGCGGCCACCCAGAGTTTCTACAGTCTCTCTGAGGTGGCTCAGAGGTTGCTTCCTGCACTGTGTACTGTCACTAGGGACCCAGACAAGGGAGTCAGAGATCAGGTGAGAGAGGAAACGAGAGAAACCGATACTGCTCTGAGAGTGAGATATCAAGAGAGAGAATTATTAGTAAGAATCAGTTAACTGGTGTAAGAGATAGAATGGGAGAGAGTAATCTTACTGACTGTCAAAGAATAGGAGAAAGGGAGAGTAATGTACTGCAAAAGAGGGGGAGAATATGTTAGACTTTCCAAGTGTGGTAGTATGTAGCCACTTTGATAGGCACGCAACAACAGTAACAGCTGCTGATGTCCCCTTTCTCTGCACTGATTCATAAGAAGAAGTCCATATTGACAATAACAGTTTAGCCAAATCCACTGAGTCAGTTCAGTCATTCACACATTCATGCTGAAGCACAGGTTCACATGTGTGTTCCCCATGGACAGAAACTGTATTTAGAATCTCCTATGTTGTGAATATTTTACTGTTTTCTGACGTGCCACTCAGACCCCAGCTGCTTCTAAAATAATCACAGCTCTAAATATCAATAAATCTGTGGTATATATCATTGATGAAATCAGAAAAATGACACTTGTTTTATTGGTTGAAGGTATTGTTGTTTGTTCACAGGCTTTCTGAACAGTTTGTCCTATTGGATGTCCTATTGGTTGAAGGTTTTGTTGTTTGTTCACAGGCTTTCTGAACAGTTTGTCCTATTGGTTGAAGGTACTGTTATTTGTTCACAGGCTTTCTGAACAGTTTGTTCTATTGGTTGAAGGTACTGTTGTTTGTTCACAGGCATACTGAACAGTTTGTCCTATTGGTTGAAGGTACTGTTATTTGTTCACAGGCTTTCTGAACAGTTTGTCCTATTGGTTGAAGGTACTGTTATTTGTTCACAGGCTTTCTGAACAGTTTGTCCTATTGGTTGAAGGTACTGTTGTTTGTTCACAGGCATTCCGAACAATCAAGGGATTTCTGGCCAAGCTAGAGAAGGTCTCGGAGCATCCAGAGTTGGAGGAGGAATATGGTGAGAGTGTAATCTGCATTATTATTTTGTAGTTTTCTTTTCATGTTTGAATTATAAAGTTTGCAGATGATGATATAGTGACAGTAGATGAGGTCAAGGCTGTGCTATATATAAAGTTTGCAGACGATGATATAGTGACAGTGGATGAGGTCAAGGCTGTGCTATATATAAAGTTTGCAGACGATGATATAGTGACAGTAGATGAGATCAAGGCTGTGCTATATATAAAGTTTGCAGACGATGATATAGTGACAGTAGATGAGGTCAAGGCTGTGCTATATATAAAGTTTGCAGACGATGATATAGTGACAGTAGATGAGGTCAAGGCTGTGCTATATATAAAGTTTGCAGACGATGATATAGTGACAGTAGATGAGGTCAAGGCTGTGCTATATATAAAGTTTGCAGATGATGATATAGTGACAGTAGATGAGGTCAAGGCTGTGCTATATATAAAGTTTGCAGATGATGATATAGTGACAGTAGATGAGGTCAAGGCTGTGCTATATATAAAGTTTGCAGACGATGATATAGTGACAGTAGATGAGGTCAAGGCTGTGCTATATATAAAGTTTGCAGACGATGATATAGTGACAGTAGATGAGGTCAAGGCTGTGCTATATATAAAGTTTGCAGACGATGATATAGTGACAGTAGATGAGGTCAAGGCTGTGCTATATATAAAGTTTGCAGACGGTGATATAGTGACAGTGGATGAGATCAAGGCTGTGCTATGATATATATAAAGTTTGCAGACGATGATATATAGTGACAGTAGATGAGATCAAGGCTGTGCTATATATAAAGTTTGCAGACGATGATATAGTGACAGTAGATGAGGTCAAGGCTGTGCTATATATAAAGTTTGCAGACGATGATATAGTGACAGTAGATGAGGTCAAGGCTGTGCTATATAGCAAAAAGTTTGCAGACGATGATATAGTGACAGTAGATGAGGTCAAGGCTGTGCTATATATAAAGTTTGCAGACGATGATATAGTGACAGTGGATGAGGTCAAGGCTGTGCTATATATAAAGTTTGCAGACGATGATATAGTGACAGTAGATGAGGTCAAGGCTGTGCTATATATAAAGTTTGCAGACGATGATATAGTGACAGTAGATGAGATCAAGGCTGTGCTATGATGAGCAAATAGTAGTGCACCAGGTCCAGACGATGATATAGTGACAGTAGATGAGGTCAAGGCTGTGCTATATATAAAGTTTGCAGACGATGATATAGTGACAGTAGATGAGGTCAAGGCAGTGCTATATATAAAGTTTGCAGACGATGATATAGTGACAGTAGATGAGGTCAAGGCTGTGCTATATATAAAGTTTGCAGACGATGATATAGTGACAGTAGATGAGGTCAAGGCTGTGCTATATATAAAGTTTGCAGACGATGATATAGTGACAGTGGATGAGGTCAAGGCTGTGCTATATATAAAGTTTGCAGACGATGATATAGTGACAGTAGATGAGGTCAAGGCTGTGCTATATATAAAGTTTGCAGACGATGATATAGTGACAGTAGATGAGATCAAGGCTGTGCTATATATAAAGTTTGCAGACGATGATGTAGTGACAGTAGATGAGGTCAGGGCTGTGCTATATATAAAGTTTGCAGACGATGATATAGTGACAGTAGATGAGGTCAAGGCTGTGCTATATATAAAGTTTGCAGACGATGATATAGTGACAGTGGATGAGGTCAAGGCTGTGCTATATATAAAGTTTGCAGATGATGATATAGTGACAGTAGATGAGGTCAAGGCTGTGCTATATATAAAGTTTGCAGATGATGATATAGTGACAGTAGATGAGGTCAAGGCTGTGCTATATATAAAGTTTGCAGACGATGATATAGTGACAGTAGATGAGGTCAAGGCTGTGCTATATATAAAGTTTGCAGATGATGATATAGTGACAGTAGATGAGGTCAAGGCTGTGCTATATATAAAGTTTGCAGACGATGATATAGTGACAGTAGATGAGGTCAAGGCTGTGCTATATATAAAGTTTGCAGACGGTGATATAGTGACAGTGGATGAGATCAAGGCTGTGCTATATATAAAGTTTGCAGACGATGATATAGTGACAGTAGATGAGGTCAAGGCTGTGCTATATATAAAGTTTGCAGACGATGATATAGTGACAGTAGATGAGGTCAAGGCTGTGCTATATATAAAGTTTGCAGATGATGATATAGTGACAGTAGATGAGGTCAAGGCTGTGCTATATATAAAGTTTGCAGATGATGATATAGTGACAGTAGATGAGGTCAAGGCTGTGCTATATATAAAGTTTGCAGACGATGATATAGTGACAGTAGATGAGGTCAAGGCTGTGCTATATATAAAGTTTGCAGATGATGATATAGTGACAGTAGATGAGGTCAAGGCTGTGCTATATATAAAGTTTGCAGACGATGATATAGTGACAGTAGATGAGATCAAGGCTGTGCTATATATAAAGTTTGCAGACGATAATTTAGTGACAGTAGATGAGATCAAGGCTGTGTTATATATAAAGTTTGCAGATGATGATATAGTGACAGTAGATGAGATCAAGGCTGTGCTATATATAAAGTTTGCAGACGATGATATAGTGACAGTGGATGAGATCAAGGCTGTGCTATATATAAAGTTTGCAGATGGTGATATAGTGACAGTAGATGAGGTCAAGGCTGTGCTATATATAAAGTTTGCAGACGATGATATAGTGACAGTAGATGAGGTCAAGGCTGTGCTATATATAAAGTTTGCAGATGGTGATATAGTGACCGTGGATGAGATCAAGGCTGTGCTATATATAAAGTTTGCAGATGATGATATAGTGACAGTAGATGAGGTCAAGGCTATGCTATATATAAAGTTTGCAGATGATGATATAGTGACAGTAGATGAGGTCAAGGCTGTGCTATATATAAAGTTTGCAGACGATGATATAGTGACAGTAGATGAGGTCAAGGCTGTGCTATATATAAAGTTTGCAGATGGTGATATAGTGACAGTGGATGAGATCAAGGCTGTGCTATGATGAGCAAATAATAGTGCACCAGGTCCAGACGATGATATAGTGACCGTAGATGAGATCAAGGCTGTGCTATATATAAAGTTTGCAGACGGTGATATAGTGACAGTAGATGAGATCAAGGCTGTGCTATATATAAAGTTTGCAGACGATGATATAGTGACAGTAGATGAGATCAAGGCTGTGCTATATATAAAGTTTGCAGACGATGATATAGTGACAGTAGATGAGGTCAAGGCTGTGCTATATATAAAGTTTGCAGACGATGATATAGTGACAGTAGATGAGGTCAAGGCTGTGCTATATATAAAGTTTGCAGACGATGATATAGTGACAGTAGATGAGGTCAAGGCTGTGCTATATATAAAGTTTGCAGACGATGATATAGTGACAGTAGATGAGATCAAGGCTGTGCTATATATAAAGTTTGCAGACGGTGATATAGTGACAGTAGATGATATAGTGACAGTAGATGATATAGTGACAGTGGATGAGATCAAGGCTGTGCTATATATAAAGTTTGCAGATGATGATATAGTGACAGTAGATGAGATCAAGGCTGTGCTATGATGAGCAAATAGTAGTGCACCGGGTCCAGATGGTGTAAGATATGATGACATTAGTGGGTGTACTAGAGATAAGCTGAAAGAGCTAGCAGATATATATATAGTGACAGTAGATGAGGTCAAGGCTGTGCTATATATAAAGTTTGCAGACGATGATATAGTGACAGTAGATGAGATCAAGGCTGTGCTATATATAAAGTTTGCAGACGATGATGTAGTGACAGTAGATGAGGTCAGGGCTGTGCTATATATAAAGTTTGCAGACGATGATATAGTGACAGTAGATGAGGTCAAGGCTGTGCTATATATAAAGTTTGCAGACGATGATATAGTGACAGTGGATGAGGTCAAGGCTGTGCTATATATAAAGTTTGCAGAGATGATGATATAGTGACAGTAGATGAGGTCAAGGCTGTGCTATATATAAAGTTTGCAGACGATGATATAGTGACAGTAGATGAGGTCAAGGCTGTGCTATATATAAAGTTTGCAGACGATGATATAGTGACAGTAGATGAGGTCAAGGCTGTGCTATATATAAAGTTTGCAGACGGTGATATAGTGACAGTGGATGAGATCAAGGCTGTGCTATATATAAAGTTTGCAGACGATGATATAGTGACAGTAGATGAGGTCAAGGCTGTGCTATATATAAAGTTTGCAGACGATGATATAGTGACAGTAGATGAGGTCAAGGCTGTGCTATATATAAAGTTTGCAGATGATGATATAGTGACAGTAGATGAGGTCAAGGCTGTGCTATATATAAAGTTTGCAGATGATGATATAGTGACAGTAGATGAGATCAAGGCTGTGCTATATATAAAGTTTGCAGACGGTGATATAGTGACAGTAGATGATATAGTGACAGTAGATGATATAGTGACAGTGGATGAGATCAAGGCTGTGCTATATATAAAGTTTGCAGATGATGATATAGTGACAGTAGATGAGATCAAGGCTGTGCTATGATGAGCAAATAGTAGTGCACCGGGTCCAGATGGTGTAAGATATGATGACATTAGTGGGTGTACTAGAGATAAGCTGAAAGAGCTAGCAGATATAATAAATAAATCATAAGCTCACGACTTTCAAGGAAGTTGAATACACAGGGCAGTCTGCTGTGACCATGTGTAGAAAGTGAAAGCACATACTAGAGATAATTGGGGTTACAAGGCTCCACAGTTATATCAGTCTTGTCTGGGACTGAAGAAATTCACTGAACTTCACACACAAAAGTTATTTCTAAAAATGTTTGAGGCTGTGAACATTGTGTCATTCCTGCTAGTTGTGTCTGTTCTGTTTACAACTTGGTCTTATCTGACTCTGTGAACTTGATACATCTGTTTTTGTTTATCAGAGAAAGAAGTCATGTCTGGTTCTGTTGGCTCCGCATCTGCTTCAGGATGGGCAGGGTGGGCTGTGACCGGAGTCTCCTCCCTGACCTCCAAAATCTACAACAAAGCTACAACAAAGAATCCTGGGAAACCAACAGGTTTGTGTCAAGTGTTGTTTCTCTGTGTGGTTTGACACTGTGCTGTACGTACAATTATCTGCACAGTTATTGTCACAAGTGATTTGATCTGAATTCACTACAGTTTAATATCACTACAGCTTGTTGACTCACACCTCTGTCATTGCAGGGAAAGCGCTAACCATTAAAGCATTTTCTATCACAAATTACTGAAACACTGGTTGTGAGAACAAACAGAAACAGCAAGGAGATATCATCATTATGTGCAATGATGATAGCATAGGCAGTTGTGGTTTGCCTTGTCACATGATAACCATTGTCTGATCTAGTCTGTGCTCCTGTTTCAGAAATGCATTGTGACCACCACACCATCCAGGTATTTGTACATCTTTGTCACCCACTTGGCCTTTACCCATCATTGCTACCAGTTGTCACTAAGTTTTCAAGCTTATTTCTCATCCTCACTCGTCTAACAAATAGTAGCCTTCTATGCTATACCAACTTTCTACATAAACGTCTCTAATCATGTTCCAGTTTCCATCTATTTCTATAAAGACTGCTGTAACAGTGTTTGTCCCCACACATGATATTCTCTGCATTCTCCTCAGTAAGCAGATTCAACAGCTCTTCTGGGGTCTGTCTGCTTTGTGTCTGTGTTTCACTGTGTGTAAAACAGTACAAGTTGTAAACAACGCTTCACCGTCTGAGTCTGCTTTGTGTCTGTGTTTCACTGTGTGTAAAACAGTACAAGCTGTAAACAACGCTTCACTGTCCTTTTTCTAACTAAAAGTTTGCATTTCTACCAAAAAAAAAACTATCAAAAATGTCTGTGTCTTGCGAAAGGCAACTTTTGCCGTGGTGATGTTTATTGTAATTTCTACCAAACATTTTCTATCAAATGTTGCAGCTGTTTCAAGATAGTTATACAAATTCCATGAACATGTCAGAAGATATGTTGTACACAGGTTTTTACAAAAGTATAACTGCATATCACTGTAGAGAAGGAACAGAACAAGAATTAAATAATTGCTGAGAAGACTTCTACTTCTCCTTCTGCACATTCATCGGCAGTAAACTCTGGTGAGAAGTCCAGGATGTCTAAACACTTCTAGACTTTGGTCTTGTTCCAGGGCTTAAGTTTTGCATGCAGATCTGTTTTACAGATATGTTTTATTTGTGTGCATACTGTTGGTTCTTTACCTTTCAAGTAGATGCACTGCAGCTTCAGAGAGAACACCCGTAATTAGTCTCTTCTCACAATGTGCTAGTGTACCCACACGAGGAACTTTCAGTCTTCCCACAGGATAATGTTATTTTGTGCTATGAGGAGGCTTGGGACTCACAGCCCATGGTGACGGCGAGTGTGGCTAGCAAGACCCACCCGTGTTAAGAAAAGTCTGTTCAGCAACTAATTAAAACAGGGATACAGCATGACCAAGGCAACACAACTTCTTGCCTTGGTACACAAGCTTAAAGTCCCCACCCCTGCACATGATGGCAGGAGTGGATTAGGGGAAGTAACCATTGTACACCTGGAGTCAAGGACTTTCAGCCTCTGTGGTTGATCTAGATGAGACTTGTTGAAAATATAATATTTGTCTCAAATATTTATCGACTCAGTCTTGCTAATTTTGTCTTGCTTCTATCAGCACCTGCTCAACAGTTGTCTGAGGACAAACTGGCACAACGGCAAGCTTCCCTGGACATGCCAGTTGCTCCTGCAGCTACAGCTGCCCTCTCACAAGTTGGAACTGTTGATCGGGAGGAAGTTGAGGGAACTGGCGATGGATGGGAGGAAGATGACTGGGGCGATCTTGATGTAAGAATTCTCTCACCATCATGGTTTTCGTTTCAAGATTATCTTGCCATATGTGAATTTTCACACCCTGATACCTCGTCTTTTTTCTGTCTCATCTGCACCTCCTCATGTTCAAATATTAGACAAAAATTGTATTTTCTTTGTAGTTCAATATCAAAAGGGGGTTTCCCCAAAAGGAAATCACAAAGCTCCTGGTAGAGTCAAATATTCTGGGGGTTAGGATTGGGATCTTTGTCAGCCTCAGAGACACCAACTAACCCTAACCCGTAACACCAATAGAATATTGGACTTTCCTAAAAGTCTGGGATTTCCTTTGTTGGGGATGAATTAAAAATAAATTACCGAAAAAATAAATGTTGTGTAATATTATGTAATAATGTCCATTAATATATTGAGTGCTTTACTTACAGGACACCAACACTGGCCAGGTAGCTGGCAAGACTGAAGGCGAAGACAAAGTGGCAGGTGATGGCTGGGATGAGGAAGACGACTGGGGTAGTCTGGAGGAAACTAGTCAGGCAAAGGTCAGACATGGACCAGATGTTATTTCAATAATTATGTAGTTACAACATAAAGTCACGAGCAGTTGTTGAGATAATGTGTTTTACTTCATAAATTAAGACAGACTTGACATTTATTGCCTGACATATTCGGCTGTGTTTCCAGAACTAAGTCAACATGAAGCGAAGCACAATCATGATTTGTTTTGTTTGAACAACACATATAGTCCATTGCGTCAGTGCCTGTTACAACAGCAGTTTCAAACTGACTAAAATATCTTTCTATTTACATAACAACTGATGATTCGTGCATGTCACAAACACTTCTGCCTTTCAATATGCACCAGTTTTATGTGTATTAGTTTAAATGAAACATTTTATCCTTTTTTTAAGTTATTGCTGAATATTTCTGATTCCCGGCACGCAGGACTGTAAACCAGTTGCCCTCTAAACAAGCATGTCATAAAAGTCAACCAATTAGGGGTGTTTCTTTTGAAGATGTAGTCCATCAACAGTCTGCTTACAAATAAACCAGATCTGTAAAACGGATGTGCACACAAAACTCAAGTTCTGGAACAAGACCAGAGTCCAGAAGTTGACAGCCAGTGAACGTATTAGAAGGAGAGGGAGATAAAAACATGACAAACGCAGAGACTGTTTCAGATCTGTTGCTACTTCCTTCTCAGTTAGATCTGTTGCTACTTCATTCTCTGTTAGATCTGTTGCTACTTCATTCTCTGTTAGATCTGTTGCTACTTTATTTTCTGCAGGTGGCTACACAGTCTTCCCCACAGACAGGTCAGAGAACAAAACTAACTCCCAAACCTGAAGAGTTTGTCTCCACAAAGGGTTCTGGTCTACCTACAACAGATTCTTACGACTGGGGGATGGGTGGGAGAGGAGATGAGTTCTTCACATCACTAGCGGTAAGGACAGCTGTGGATTTGTGTGGTGTGTAGGTTTGTGTGGTGTGTGGATTTGTGTGGTGTATGGATGCTAGTTCTCTTCTTCTTACTCTCTTTTCGTTCTTCCTGTCAGTGGTTTTCAGCCTCTGTGCCGACTGTGGTGCGACACCCGTCTTCCACTGATCCATACTGCTTGATTTCCACTGGAATGCCAACTGGCCAGACCTGAGATCTTTCTACTGCATACAAAACAGGCTTAGGTTTATATGGTATGCTGATGCTGGTTATAATGATTGCAAGGCAAATGTGAAAGAAGAAGACAGTGTTTCAGCTGGAAGGACAGTACCAAAAGATAGATTAGGGGGGGGGGGGGGGGGGGGGGGGGGGGGGGGGGGGGGGGGGGAATGTTTGGCAAATATAGAGACTGTTTGCTGGACATCTATTGAAATTATTCCTGTGAACTTTGTGGACTAAAAAATGGGAAAGCATTTCATGAAGCTTTTTAGTCACAGTTCACTGGATTCATTTCTTGGTATTAGCTTGACTACCGTCTCCCCTGTTTTCACCACTTTTTGGAGATCCATTGCAGACAGTATTGAATGCAAAGATGGTCTGTATGTCTGTGAATGGATGCTGACTGGGAGTAGCCACAGTGATCCTGTGCTGAGATCTGTTCTTGGTAGCCCAGTGCTTGTGGATTGTTTGCCCTTGGTTGCTCACTCATGGCAGCCCAGAGCCTGTTAATTTTCTGCTCTTGGTTGCTCGTTTGTGGCGGCCCAGTGCCAGTTATTGTCTACTCTTGGTTGCTCGTTTGTGGCAGCCCAGTGCCAGTTATTGTCTACTCTTGATTGCTCATTTGTGGCGGCCCAGTGCCAGTTATTGTCTGCTCTTGGTTGCTCGTTTGTGGCAGCCCAGTGCCAGTTATTGTCTGCTCTTGATTGCTCATTTGTGGCGGCCCAGTGCCAGTTATTGTCTGCTCTTGGTTGCTCGTTTGTGGCAGCCCAGTGCCAGTTATTGTCTACTCTTGGTTGCTCGTTTGTGGCAGCCCAGTGCCAGTTATTGTCTGCTCTTGGTTGCTCATTTGTGGCAGCCCAGTACCAGTTATTGTCTGCTCTTGGTTGCTCGTTTGTGGCAGCCCAGTGCCAGTTATTGTCTGCTTTGGCAACCCAAAGCTTGTGATTCGTCTGATCTTGGCAAACCAGTGCTTGTGAATTGTCTGCTCTTGACAAACCAGTGCTTGTGAATTGTCTGCTCTTGGCAATCTAGTGCTTGTAAATTGTCTGCTCTTGGCAATCCAGTGCTTATAATTTGTCTGCTCTTGGCAAACCAGTGCTTGTGAATTGTCTGCTCTTGGCTACCCAAAGCTTGTGAATTGTCTGCTCTTGACAACCCAGTGCCTGTTAATTTTCTGCTCTTGGTAACACAGTTAGGTTAGTTGTGTATCCTTTACAGGACATTGCAGAACCAACCCCAGCAGCCCCTGGCTGTTTTGTGGTTTTTCTAGGCAAATTTACATCCAGTAGTTTGCCAGTGACCAGTGATAGAACCACAGCTGGCAGAAGAACAGATGGGATTTAGGAGAAATAGAAGCTGCACAGATGCAATAAGTGTGAAGATTAAACAGTTAATAGAAAAGAACATTGAATACAAAAAGAACTTATTTGTGGCATTCGTAGACCAGGAGAAGGCATTTGACAGAGTCGACAGACAATTATTATGGAAAATAATGGCAAGATATGGAGTAAGCGAACACCTCATCGAAGTGTGCAAAAGTTTATACAGGGATTGTAGAAGTGTAGTTAGAATAAATCAGGGAACATCTCATCCTTTCACAGTGACATCTGGAGTAAGACAGGGGTGTGTCTTATCACCACTGCTGTTTATCACCTACATCGACAGTATATGCAAGAATGCCAAGCCCATGAATGAAGATCTTAGTAAGATCAACGAATTACTCTTTGCAGATGACCAGGCCTTGATAGCAGATACAGCCATGAAATTGCAACAACATCTAACATCCATGAATGAAGAATGTAAAACAAATAATATGAGAATCAACACTGAAAAGACAGAAGTAATGTCAATAGGAAAAAAGAAGACAGATCTAAACATAACAATAGAATACAAAGGCATTAAACAGCCATCTGAGTTTAAATATCTGGAAACTACATTTACCGAAGATGGGAAATTGGATAAAGAAATTGACATTAGATGCAGTAAAGCAAACCAAGTATTGGGACAGCTAGCCCCCTCTTACAGCATAAGACAATCCCAATCAGCACAAAGAGACATCTTATTCAAAGCATATTTATTCCAACTCTGTGCTACCAGTGCCAGACATGGTCACTCACAACAAACCATAAAAGAAAATTAGTAACCACGGAAATGAGATGTCTGTAGGAGTGACCATAAGAGATAAGATCAGAAATGAGATCATAAGAGAACAAGTCGGCACAGAACCAATTCTGGATTACATACAAAGACAGCAAGTGAAATGGTTTGCCCACTTAGAGAGAATGCCTTGTGACACCACACCATACAAAGCATACATGGGAAGAGAAGAAGGACGTAGAGCACGGGGTAGACCAAGAACAAGATGGAAGGATAACATCAGAGAAACTCTACAACAGTACGATGTGCCTATGGTCCAGGCAGCCAGAAGAGCTAGAAACAGAACCTTATATCTCCCTCGACACCCACAGCGGTAAAAGAGGAAGCGAAGAAGAAGAAGAGAAGTTTGCCATTGCTTTCTGGACAGTGGGCTTTCTTGTAACCACTGTCGCAACCAACGCAAAGCGCATGGCCCGCAGCTGGAATCGAACGCGGCATCCCGGCATTACGAAGCGTTTGCATCGACTTAGCCACAAAGCTGGTAACACAGTGCTTGTGAATTATCTGCTCTTCACAACCCAGTACTGGTGAGTTGTCTGCTCTTGACAACCTAGGTTATGTTTACAAGACAAGAGGGTCAACTTCAGTGCTCAGTCAGTCTCAGCTGTCCGCTCATTAAGAATGTGGCTGCAAGCATGGGACTCCTTAACTCTTGTGATGGGGTCTCAAAAACATGAACACCTACTAACCAAAAGATCTTAAAACTGAACTAGACAACAACATCTGTGATGCCATTACCATTTCCTTCACAGTGTCTTGTCCTAGCAGCCAGAAGCTCATTGTTATTATTCCTCTTTATTTAATAGTTATACTCTTCCTGAACTGTATTTTGTTCCTCTTCTGAAGAGTTCTGGAAGAACAAAGTCAAGCACTCCTGCTAGAGAAACTCCACCTCGTGAATCAGCAGCCAAGTTGTCCTCACCGGGACAGTCTGCTTCAGCAGCTGGTAGAAAATCTGGCGATGATGGATGGAGTGAAGGAGGAGGTGTAGGCTGGGATGATGGTGGTGGCTGGGGCGGTGATGGTTGGAATGATACTGAAGGTAAGGTGGACATTCTCTGCTCATCTTTCCATTAACTATTTTATTTTTTTCAGACTTGGGTGTTGTGAAGTTGTGCTGTCTGAATGTTTGGTCTTTGTTATGACTACACAGTTTATGCTGCATTTCACTGGCCCTGCTGCCATCAACAGACTGAAACACTTTATGAAAATGTGGGGGGGGGGAGGGGGAGGGGAGAGGGCTGTGAGGGCTGTGATCCCTTGAAAAAGATTTTACACACAGGTCACTAGTATATATTTTTTAAATTATTTATTTTCCTTTTTTCAAATTCTTTTAGAAATATATGAAGGGGGTAATCAGTAAAACATGAACAGAGCAGAGAATTAAATTCCCTTGGGCTCGTGACTTGAACCATAACCCCATTGCTGTGTGACTGCTAATAGCTAAAAGTCAGTTATAATGTCAAAGTGACCCTAAACAAGCCATTGTTCCTCACAACCTTCCTCACAGCAGTACTATGTTTTAGAAAATATGATGATATAAAACATGATCTTTACTCCCTGTATCTACCACTGTTATGCCGGTGTAGGACATGGAGGAATGAAGACAGCATGGCTAGTACCATTGCCACAAACTCAACAAGTTTGCATTTTATTTTGCCCTGGAAGAATGAAATCTCCATCCCTTATCAGGGATCAAACCCAGGCCTACCACAAGAGAGCAAAGCATTTGGCCAGCTGCTCATGATAATCATACCCAACCCTTCTAAACACTGCACAGGCGCAAACAGAACCAGTGCTGTTAACTAGGGGCTGGCCAAAACAGCAATGCTGGCTCAACATCTTCTCTGGGTTTTATAATAGGTTGTGATGCCGGACTATCAGGTGAAATGATTAAGATGCTTCTTGTGTGATAATGAGAATGGGACACCTGTGAAGACATCTGTGTGCTGTATGGAGATGGTTCTAGTGTGATAATGAGAATGGAACATTTGTGAAGACATCTGTATGGAGATGGTTCTTGTGTGATAATGAGAATGGAACATTTGTGAAGACATCTGTGTGCTGTATGGAGATGGTTCTAGTGTGATAATGAGAATGGGACACCTGTGAAGACATCTGTGTGCTGTATGGAGATGGTTCTAGTGTGATAATGAGAATGGAACATTTGTGAAGACATCTGTATGGAGATGGTTCTTGTGTGATAATGAGAATGGAACATTTGTGAAGACATCTGTGTGCTGTATGGAGATGTTCTAGTGTGATAATGAGAATGGAACATTTGTGAAGACATCTGTGTGCTGTATGGAGATGGTTCTAGTGTGATAATGAGAATGGAACATTTGTGAAGACATCTGTGTGCTGTATGGAGATGGTTCTAGTGTGATAATGAGAATGGAACTCTTGTGAAGGCATCTGTGTGCTGTATGGAGATGGTTCTAGTGTGATAATGAGAATGGAACACTTGTGAAGGCATCTGTGTGCTGTATGGAGATGGTTCTAGTGTGATAATGAGAATGGAACATTTGTGAAGACATTTGTGTGCTGTATGGAGATGGTTCTAGTGTGATAATGAGAATGGAACACCTGTGAAGACATCTGTGTGCTGTATGGAGATGTTCTAGTGTGATAATGAGAATGGAACATTTGTGAAGACATCTGTGTGCTGTATGGAGATGGTTCTAGTGTGATAATGAGAATGGAACATTTGTGAAGACATCTGTGTGCTGTATGGAGATGGTTCTAGTGTGATAATGAGAATGGAACATTTGTGAAGACATCTGTGTGCTGTATGGAGATGGTTCTAGTGTGATAATGAGAATGGAACATTTGTGAAGACATCTGTGTGCTGTATGGAGATGGTTCTAGTGTGATAATGAGAATGGAACATTTGTGAAGACATCTGTGTGCTGTATGGAGATGGTTCTAGTGTGATAATGAGAATGGAACATTTGTGAAGACATCTGTGTGCTGTATGGAGATGGTTCTAGTGTGATAATGAGAATGGAACATTTGTGAAGACATCTGTGTGCTGTATGGAGATGGTTCTAGTGTGATAATGAGAATGGCATACTTGTGAAGACATCTGTGTGCTGTATGGAGATGGTTCTAGTGTGATAATGAGAATGGCATACTTGTGAAGACATCTGTGTGCTGTATGGAGATGGTTCTAGTGTGATAATGAGAATGGAACATTTGTGAAGACATCTGTGTGCTGTATGGAGATGGTTCTAGTGTGATAATGAGAATGGAACATTTGTGAAGACATCTGTGTGCTGTATGGAGATGTTCTAGTGTGATAATGAGAATGGAACATTTGTGAAGACATCTGTGTGCTGTATGGAGATGGTTCTAGTGTGATAATGAGAATGGAACATTTGTGAAGACATCTGTGTGCTGTATGGAGATGGTTCTAGTGTGATAATGAGAATGGAACATTTGTGAAGACATCTGTGTGCTGTATGGAGATGGTTCTAGTGTGATAATGAGAATGGAACATTTGTGAAGACATCTGTGTGCTGTATGGAGATGGTTCTAGTGTGATAATGAGAATGGAACATTTGTGAAGACATCTGTGTGCTGTATGGAGATGTTCTAGTGTGATAATGAGAATGGAACATTTGTGAAGACATCTGTGTGCTGTATGGAGATGGTTCTAGTGTGATAATGAGAATGGAACATTTGTGAAGACATCTGTGTGCTGTATGGAGATGGTTCTAGTGTGATAATGAGAATGGAACATTTGTGAAGGCATCTGTGTGCTGTATGGAGATGGTTCTAGTGTGATAATGAGAGAATGGAACATTTGTGAAGACATCTCTGTTGGAGATGAAGAATGGAATGACATTTGTGAAGACATCTGTGTGCTGTATGGAGATGGTTCTAGTGTGATAATGAGAATGGAACACTTGTGAAGGCATCTGTGTGCTGTATGGAGATGTTCTAGTGTGATAATGAGAATGGAACACCTGTGAAGACATCTGTGTGCTGTATGGAGATGGTTCTAGTGTGATAATGAGAATGGCATACTTGTGAAGACATCTGTGTGCTGTATGGAGATGAGTTCTAGTGCTGATGGAGAAGTGAGATAATGGAATGGAACACTTGTGAAGACATCTGTGTGCTGTATGGAGATGGTTCTAGTGTGATAATGAGAATGGAACACCTGTGAAGACATCTGTGTGCTGTATGGAGATGGTTCTAGTGTGATAATGAGAATGGAACACCTGTGAAGACATCTGTGTGCTGTATGGAGATGGTTCTAGTGTGATAATGAGAATGGAACTCTTGTGAAGGCATCTGTGTGCTGTATGGAGATGGTTCTAGTGTGATAATGAGAATGGAACATTTGTGAAGACATCTGTGTGCTGTATGGAGATGGTTCTAGTGTGATAATGAGAATGGAACACTTGTGAAGGCATCTGTGTGCTGTATGGAGATGGTTCTAGTGTGATAATGAGAATGGCACACTTTTTGTTAGATATACATATGCTGTGATGTTGATATTTGACAAAGAAAATATGCCCTTTATTTCCATGATTTTTGTCTTTCTTTCTTAGATTTTGGGAATGCTGCAGAATCTGAGGCTGATCGAATGAAGCGAGAAAGAGATGAGAAAAAGAAGCAACGACAGAAGGAAATGCAGGAGAAGAGAGAAGCTAGGAAAGCTGGTGGAGCCATGAAATTGGGAGTCAAAAAGGTCACAGACTTTTCCGATTTGACGTGACCCTGATGGCTTTCGATTGGCCCAGGACTTGTCTGTGCATATGTGTAATGGCTGGCTAGACTTTATGTGTGTGTGTATATGTAGTGGTTGACCCGTGTTAAAATAAATATCTGTTGTGTTTCACAACTATCAAGCAGTAAGGGTGTATGACAGAACACGGGGTAAGGGTGTATGACAGAACACGGGTACAGTATGTTTGTGATAGAATATAAAGTTTTACAGAACATACAGAGATTTATTTGCTAGCATAATGGGCACATATTGTATGCGTTGTGCAGACAGTGTAATAGAACACACCCATAGATTTGACATGATAATGCTATACATTGTGGTAAAGGTTGTCCCACATATCAGCAACCTCCGTTGTGGTGTGTCCAGTCTTCACATATTTTAGACCACGACATACAAGTTGGGGTGGCAGCTCGTCACCTTGCCTTCCAATTTGAATGAAGCTAAGTGAGCCCAGAACTTTACTGGGTAGGGGGAACTCGTCCTGTCTCTGCTACAGACTGGAGCTGGACCGGTGTCTGGACACCCCTGTTTATGCAGGACAATAAATACACAGATCTGGTCATAGTGTGCAAGTGTGCTACAGAAAAATGCTTAGAATACCATGGCTCAATAAGAATGAAACTACGTGATCAGAGCGATGGGGAGAATTGGCTAATAAATAGCATCCTGTCCTGAAATCTGTGGTATTCTGGTCATGTGAAACGTCCTGATGGCCTGGAGAGAAGGTTGGTGCAGAGTAGTTTCTGGAAAATGAGGAAGAAGCAGACCACCAGAAAAGTGGATACAAGCTTTTGAAGATAGACTGGCTAAGCATTTAGGGCTGGAGAGTTGGCTACAGAAAGAGACTTTCAGGCGTGCCATGATGAGAGCTGATGTTCTGTAAAGTACCTGCTGACTGATGAGAGTGCAGGTGTCACAGGTGTTGTGTGTGTGTGTGTGTGGATGTGATGTGTGATTAAGTATGGCACAATATGGCCATTTATAGCAGATACATCTGTTACTGTGTACCAGGTAAAATATACATGACTGTTTTACATGAAATAAATCTGTGTAATGAATGAATACGTTTATATTCTGACATGCTTATTGGGACATTGCATATGTAAATAATATTGTGGCAGAATAAACAAGGGGACTAATTGCAGCATGTCAGCGTAACATAGATCATATGGATCAAGAGAAATCAGTTGAGGTGAGCCAAACTGGCACATATATGTCATAGACTGCACAAGACTTGGCCACTTCCCAGTTAGGTTAGTTGCGTATCCTTTACAGGACGTTGCAGAACCAACCCCAGCAGCCCCAGGCTGTTGTGTGGTTTCTCTAGGCAAATTTACGTCCAGTAGTTTGCCATTGCTTTCTGGATGGTTGGCCCCCGGATACCACTGTCGAAACCAATGCAAGGCGCATGGCCCGCAGCTGGGATCGAACCCGGCACCCCGGCATTACAAAGCGTTCGCATCGACTTAGCCACAGAGCTGGTGCTCAAAACTATTTTTTTCTTTAAAAAAAAAAAAACTAATTTAAAAAAATGTGACAGATAAAACAATGGTTGACAAACAGCACAGAGGCTCTAGAGTCAGTGCTGATACTGTCCTTGTGTGTGTTCCAACAAGAATAGACCACTGCACTCTTTATAATAATGTTGTACAAGGTAACTAATTAGCAGTGTTTCCTTCCAAGTTGGAATGTTTCTGCTCGAGAGGCAAACAGACAACAATGCCCATGCTTCTGAGCGAGAATCAAACAGACAACAATGCCCATGCTTCTGAGCGAGAGGCAAACAGACAACAATGCCCATGCTTCTGAGCGAGAGGCAAACAGACAACAATGCCCATGCTTCTGCCCGAGAGGCAAACAGACAACAATGCCCATGCTTCTGAGCGAGAGGCAAACAGACAACAATGCCCATGCTTCTGAGCGAGAGGCAAACAGACAACAATGCCCATGCTTCTGAGCAAGAGGCAAACAGACAACAATGCCCATGCTTCTGCCCGAGAGGCAAACAGACAACAATGCCCATGCTTCTGCCCGAGAGGCAAACAGACAACAATGCCCATGCTTCTGCCCGAGAGGCAAACAGACAACAATGCCCATGCTTCTGAGCGAGAGGCAAACAGACAACAATGCCCATGCTTCTGAGCGAGAGGCAAACAGACAACAATGCCCATGCTTCTGAGCGAGAGGCAAACAGACAACAATGCCCATGCTTCTGCCCGAGAGGCAAACAGACAACAATGCCCATGCTTCTGCCCGAGAGGCAAACAGACAACAATGCCCATGCTTCTGAGCGAGAGGTAAACAGACAACAATGCCCATGCTTCTGCCCGAGAGGCAAACAGACAACAATGCCCATGCTTCTGAGCGAGAGGCAAAAGGACAACAATGCCCATGCTTCTGAGCGAGAGGCAAACTGACAACAATGCCCATGCTTCTGAGCGAGAGGCAAACAGACAACAATACCCATGCTTCTGCCCGAGCAAACAGACAACAATGCCCATGCTTCTGCGCGACAGGCAAGCAGAAAACAATGCAGATGCCTCTGCCCAAGAGGCGAGCAAACAAAAATCTGCATTTAAAAGTCAGATAGGTAAAATGGATGTGCATGAAAAAGTCAAGTTTTGGAACGAGGCCATGTGGTTTTCATGGTGTTTGGGGACAGTTTTCTAAAATACTGACCAAATTTAGGAATGAAGTCAAGATCATTTTAGACAGAGGAAACAATTGAGAATCAAAGGAGTCGCCTGGTATTGCTTTGGCATCTTTATTTTATGACACTCTTGGAGGGCTGGCCATAACCTCCTCCAGTTTTAGTGTTGCTTTTTTTGCCCATCATGGCCGAGGAGAAACAAATGGCAGGTCAATGGTGACAAAAAAATAAATAAATATAAACATGACAATCTCTCTTAGGATTTCTGCAATTGTTTGTTTAGCATGAACACTGATGAGACGTTAGTTTTCACATGTGGCTACTTGTCAAACTTTTTGTTTAAATGTGTCCACACTTTCTCCCCATAACTGCCTATTATGTTTAAATAAAGTGACATGTTTTTGGGACACAAGACAAATACAACAACGAACATTTTGAAACAAGTTTCAGTGACCAAACAACAAATGAGGATACTTAGAAAACATGTTTCTTAAACCATCCAAACATAGCCACCTGAACATCACCCTGAAATGAAATTAAAAAAAAAAATTGTCTTGTCCAAGTGTTGTTTTCTGTGTGATGACACAGACCAGTTCAAGTGTAAAATTGTGTATCTATGTCTTGCTGGTCAAACCTTTCAGTCTGGTTTTAAGTTCATTCACTTCTGATACCTCAAGAACAGCCACTGTTATTTTTTTCTTAGTCAGCGTTTGACACAGATGGAGAAACTGCATGTGTTCAGGAATGTTCCTCTTTATTTGTCTTTAAAATTCTATAACAAAATTTACACCAAATATTTCTGTTAATCAAAACACAAGCCAATTTCATAACTTGCTAAAGTGGTGTGACATATGTGTTATTTTTTATCAAAACACTGACATACCACTGTTATTGTAATCTACATACTGACAACACCTGGTGTTGTTCATCAAAACATTGATACAAAACTTGTTATTTATTAAAAGCCACCATGACCTGCCATTGTGACTTGACATCAACTGTTCTGTCTTCATACAATGATTGACACCTCTTCTTGAGTACACAGTGCTCTTCCTGTGACCACAGGCAGGCCTGACCTTGGTGTCAGTGTCAACATTAGAGTCAGGCTCCATGACAGTAGCCTGAAAGAATTGTGTACAACATCATCTCTCCTGTTTAGGGTCTACTGGAATGTCCTTGAAGCATTGACCCTGTATTGTTAAAACTGACAGGATAAACTAGAATACACAAACTGACGCGATAACTAAAACATTCTCATCTCTTCCTTCAGCTGTGCACATCTGAATTCCAGATCCTTCAGGTGGCACTGTAAGTCAATTCTCTGCATCCTCAGGGCTTTGACTGTGTCTGCAACATTAAACAGTTGACCAGCTTTCAATGTAACCAAAGCAAGAATGGCAGGAGCTGATGATGATACAGAATATGCCTAAATGAGCACTGAGGTACTGATGTGAAATGAACCAGCGTCAAAGCCTGTGACTTAAACTGCTACTACTTGTGGTACTGGAAGCAAATTTGACAAAACAAGAAAAGCATGGCATACTGCCTTGTGATCACTGGGTAGTGGTCTAGATATACAGCCTCCATGGGTAATGATGACAAGTTTTTGATGACCCAGACGCACATTGCCCAAAATGATTACCATGTAGAGTCCTGGATAATAAAGATGGCCAACAGGATGTCGACCGCAGCACCCATTGAGGGCCAACTGGTCTATAAAAACAAAAATCTAGCATCATATATGCCCAATGCACCACTAGCAAAAGAAAGGTCCTTTACTTACCTACTATGTGTACATTAATGTTAACGCTATTGTCTGGAATGATGAAAGGTGCCAGTCAATGTGTAATCAACAATGCTGAAAATGTTAATACCACATGCAATCTGAAATCTATACATCAGATCTTCACTGGTGCGAATTCGCAGTTCATGAACTGCGCTGAGATTCTTCTTGCATGATGTAACATAACTCTTAATCCTTTTGGCTTGGGGAGGTGTATTGACAGAAGCACTAGCACACAAATTCTTTCTCTGTCTTCTGCTTGTTCAACTAGTGGGTTTCATAATTTAGTCCTGTCCATTTTTTGATTTAGTCATTCAAAGTTCTTCCACTACCTCCTAATGTTCCTTGAAGTACAGTCTTTGCAATGGAATCGTACCTCACCATGTGTCTAAACTCAGCTAAAAAAAAAGACTCCTGGCATCCTGCAAATTTGTCTTCATTGTTTCTTATGCATGATATAAGGAAAGACTGAACATTTATGCAGATATCTGTGGGTAATATAAGTGATTGTGAACTAAAACAGAGAACCACACACACAGAATAAAGGTGATTGTGAACTAAAACAGAGAACCACACACACAAAATAAAGGTGATTGTGAACTAAAACAGAGAACCACACACACAAAATAAAAGTGATTGTGAACTAAAACAGAGAACCACACACACAAAATAAAAGTGATTGTGAACTAAAACAGAGAACCACACACACAAAATAAAAGTGATTGTGAACTAAAATAGAGAACCACACAAAATAAAAGTGATTGTGAACTAAAACATAGAAACACACACACAAAATAAAGGTGATTGTGAACTAAAACAGAGAACCAAACACACAAAATAAAAGTGATTGTGAACTAAAACAGAACCTCACACACAAAATAAAGGAGATTGTGAACTAAAACAGAGAACCACACACACAAAATAAAGGTGATTGTGAACTAAAACAGAACCACACACACAAAATAAAGGTTACTGTGAACTAAAACATAGAAACACACACACAGAATAAAGGTGATTGTGAACTAAAACATAGAAACACACACACAAAATAAAAGTGATTGTGAACTAAAACATAGAAACACACACACAGAATAAAAGTGATTGTGAACTAAAACAGAGAACCTCACACACAAAATAAAAGTGATTGTGAACTAAAACAGAGAACCACACACACAGTTGCAATAACTGATTAGTCTTGTTTTTACCTTCTAAACAATTGGGATATAAAACCAGCTCCTGGCAAACATTGACTGCTGTCTCTTCCACAGTGGGCACAATTCTGTGACCTTGGCTGTCAAAACACCACTGCTTCTCCAACTTCAGTTTCACTAACTCCTGTAATAATTGGGACAAGTCAATATTCAACATGTTCTGTCTCTATGGACAAGTCAATGTTCAACATGTTCTGTCTCTACGGACAAGTCAATGTTCAACATGTTCTGTCTCTATGGACAAGTCAATGTTCAACATGTTCTGTCTCTATGGACAAGTCAATGTTCATCATGTTCTGTCTCTATGGACAAGTCAATGTTCAACATGTTCTGTCTCTATGGACAAGTCAATGTTCAACATGTTCTGTCTCTATGGACAAGTCAATGCTCAGTAATTATGTATCTATGGACAAGTCAATCCTCTGTAATTATGTATCTATGGACAAATCAATCCTCTGTAATTATGTATCTATGGACAAGTCAATCCTCTGTAATTATGTATCTATGGACAAGTCAATCCTCTGTAATTATGTATCTATGGACAAGTCAATCCTCTGTAATTATGTCTCTATGGACAAGTCAATCCTCTGTAATTATGTATCTATGGACAAGTCAATCCTCAGTAATTATGTATCTATGGACAAGTCAATCCTCTGTAATTATGTCTCTATGGACAAGTCAATCCTCTGTAATTATGTATCTATGGACAAGTCAATCCTCTGTAATTATGTCTCTATGGACAAGTCAATCTTCAACAATTATGTCTCTATGGACAAGTCAATCCTTAGTAATTATGTATCTATGGACAAGTCAATCCTCAATAATTATGTCTCTATGGACAAGTCAATCTTCAATAATTATGTCTCTATGGACAAGTCAATCCTCAGTAATTATGTATCTATGGACAAGTCAATCCTCTGTAATTATGTATCTATGGACAAGTCAATCCTCTGTAATTATGTATCTATGGACAAGTCAATCTTCAATAATTATGTCTCTATAGACAAGTAAATCTTCAATAATTATGTCTCTATAGACAAGTTAATCTTCAATAATTATGTCTCTATTGACAAGTTAATCTTCAATAATTATGTCTCTATGGACAAGTTAATCTTCAATAATTATGTCTCTATAGACAAGTAAATCTTCAATAATTATGTCTCTATAGACAAGTTAATCTTCAATAATTATGTCTCTATGGACAAGTCAATCTTCAATAATTATGTCTCTATGGACAAGTCAATCTTCAATAATTATGTCTCTATGGACAAGTCAATCCTCAGTAATTATGCATCTATGGACAAGTCAATCCTCTGTAATTATGTATCTATGGACAAGTCAATCCTCTGTAATTATGTATCTATGGACAAGTCAATCCTCAGTAATTATGTATCTATGGACAAGTCAATCCTCTGTAATTATGTATCTATGGACAAGTCAATCCTCTGTAATTATGTATCTATGGACAAGTCAATCTTCAATAATTATGTCTCTATAGACAAGTAAATCTTCAATAATTATGTCTCTATAGACAAGTTAATCTTCAATAATTATGTCTCTATTGACAAGTTAATCTTCAATAATTATGTCTCTATGGACAAGTTAATCTTCAATAATTATGTCTCTATAGACAAGTAAATCTTCAATAATTATGTCTCTATAGACAAGTTAATCTTCAATAATTATGTCTCTATGGACAAGTCAATCTTCAATAATTATGTCTCTATGGACAAGTCAATCTTCAATAATTATGTCTCTATGGACAAGTCAATCCTCAGTAATTATGTATCTATGGACAAGTCAATCCTCTGTAATTATGTATCTATGGACAAGTCAATCCTCTGTAATTATGTATCTATGGACAAATCAATCCTCAGTAATTATGTATCTATGGACAAGTCAATCCTCAGTAATTATGTCTCTATGGACAAGTTAATCCTTAGTAATTATATATGTATCTATGGGCAAGTCAATCTTCAATAATTATGTCTCTATAGACAAGTAAATCTTCAATAATTATGTCTCTATAGACAAGTTAATCTTCAATAATTATGTCTCTATGGACAAGTCAATCTTCAATAATTATGTATCTATGGACAAGTCAATCTTCAATAATTATGTCTCTATGGACAAGTCAATCTTCAATAATTATGTCTCTATAGACAAGTCAATCTTCAATAATTATGTCTCTATGGACAAGTCAATCTTCAATAATTATGTCTCTAAAGACAAGTTAATCTTCAATAATTATGTCTCTATAGACAAGTTAATCTTCAATAATTATGTCTCTATAGACAAGTTAATCTTCAATAATTATGTCTCTATGGACAAGTAAATCCTCAATAATTATGTCTATAGACAAGTTAATCCTTAGTAATTATGTATGTATGAACAAGTCAATCTTCAATAATTATGTCTCTATAGACAAGTTAATCCTTAGTAATTATGTATGTATGGACAAGTCAATCCTCAATAATTATGTCTCTATAGACAAGTTAATCCTTAGTAATTATGTATGTATGGACAAGTCAATCTTCAATAATTATGTCTCTATAGACAAGTTAATCTTCAATAATTATGTCTCTATGGACAAGTCAATCCTCAATAATTATGTCTCTATGGACAAGTCAATCTTCAATAATTATGTCTCTATGGACAAGTCAATCCTTAGTAATTATATATGTATCTATGGACAAGTCAATCTTCAATAATTATGTCTCTATGGACAAGTCTATCATCAACATGCACTATCCATGGACACTCCATGATTATGGCTCAAGTCAGTATGACTTTAGAACAAATTAATGTATCATTTCTATCAAAAACAAAAAAAAGTATGTTTAATGTAGAGAAACAAAAAAGATAATTTGTAAGCATCAGAAGAAAAAAAAAATAGCAAATTATTAAAAGATGTTATTTATACAAGTTAGTGTGATTCATGTAATGTTCAAGTTTTGAGTTATATGGAATATTTATATGTCCGTCCCATAATGTTTCGATACATTTGAGATGTGTGTCTTTTTCTGCTGTGGCAGGTTACAACTAGTGCCTGTTTCATTCTTCTCTTTACTGCTGTGGCAGGTTACAACTAGTGCCTGTTTCATTCTCCTAAGCACGGAAAACAAGCAGAAGTCTAGTAACTCATTTAACAGAAAATTTCAAGATAACAAACATGCTGGCTCATGTATCAGTACAGAGGAAGTAGCTGGACAGCCAGTTTTTGATAATGACATTTGCTGCTACGCCAACAAACAGCACTATCTTTCCAATAAACAGAGAAGAAGTCCTCACAGTCGATTTATCCTCACAGATTCGGGTCTCAGTTTTCACTGAGCAATGTTTGGCATCACAGTTAAATGTAAACGTATCAATGGGAATATTTTGTTGAAATCAAACCAGTGGAAGAGGCTGTTGACAGTGTTATGGCACATTAAAGTGACAGTGCATCATTAGCAAAACATAATTTGAAAACCTGACTGTGCCTGGGGAATACTTCACAGAGAAAAGCTGCAGAGAGAGGTAATTAATCAGATAAACGTCTTCAGTTGAAGTCCCCAGAGAAACCCAGATGAGAAGAAAAAGCTGGAGAGCTATCAAAGAAAGGCTTCCTGGCTAGCACAGAACTAGACATTATGAAATTTACTTTTTAATTTGTACTCCCGTAAACTGTTTTGTTTTTTGTTGGTAATATCAGCTCCTAATATCTAATTGGCCTGAAATTTTCCAAGGATGTTCTTGTGCACATTATGCAGGGCCTGTGGTAGAATAACTGCAGTACACGGAGGCTAATGTGGTTATTTTTAATCACAAAGTTATTTAATTAGGCAAATTACTTCTTTTTGTTTTGTTTTGAATATTCAATATTTGAAAATTCTGACATACAATACTTTTCCACAGAATTCAACAATTCGATTGAAAGGTTCTAGAAAATTTTATGATGAAAACAAGTACCAAATCTTACGGTTAAGAGTGCATTTGTTGATCAGATATTACCTTTAAAATTTATAGGCAATTTTTTTTTTTAATAATGCCGGCCATACTAGAACCTAATTTGCAAACAATTTTTAGATTTCCCCACAAATTATAATCTGTAACCCCCACCCCCAGTCCATCTCTGGTTGAAATCAATCACTAATGCTACAGGTGAAATTGTGGGGTTCCTGGAGGGGGATACTTTAACCAGCGGTGTAGTGTACCTGGCCACAGTTATAATGCCCAATGTTCAACCTCGCTTCTTCTGGTCTCGACCGAATGAAATACCGAGATCAGACTCTCAGAGAGTACATGGAGCAACATCAAGAGTTATGCCGCTTCCTTTTGTTCACACATGGTTATCGGCAGTTATGAGTCAGTTATGTAAGACAGAACCCCACAAACGATGGTAACTTTATTGCTGACCAGTGCAGACTTTTTTCAAGGCAGTGCCTCTCAATGACGGCTGACACATGCAAGAGTGAAAACCCAAAGAATGTTTCATTCTTTGCATTAGCTCAACCGTTGAGAAAGAAAAAAGCTTCTAGTGATTGGTAAATCGTCAACACCGCGTGCATTCTAGAATCAGAAGCATGAAAACATCCTCATTATTTAAGAATCAAATGGACACTTATGGAAGACTATCACTTTGTTGAGGAGTAGGTAAGAGGCATTAACCAAGAAATCAAGAAGAAGTGGTATATTCTACACACTGACTGACATATGATGAAGAAGAAACTGTTTATTCTACTGACAGTAGACAACTGTCCTGGCCGTCCACAAGTGGATCCTCTCACCAATGTAACAACAGAAATTTCTATCACAAACACGACCTCAAAAACCCAACCTCCTGATCAAGGCATTTAAAAAATATTAATATCCAACAAACCAGTTCTAGCTTGCTGATATCACTGTGCCACCAACAGTCAACCATCTCTAACAGTGTGTCTACAGACATCCAACATACCAGTTCTAGCTTGCTGATATCACTGTGCCACCAACAGTCAACCATCTCTAACAGTGTGTCTACAGATATCCAACATACCAGTTCTAGCTTGCTGATATCACTGTGCCACCAACAGTCAACCATCTCTAACAGTGTGTTTACAGACATCCAACATACCAGTTCTAGCTTGCTGATATCACTGTGCCACCAACAGTCAACCATCTCTAACAGTGTGTTTACAGACATCCAACATACCAGTTCTAGCTTGCTGATATCACTGTGCCACCAACAGTCAACCATCTCTAACAGTGTGTCTACAGACATCCAACATACCAGTTCTAGCTTGCTGATATCACTGTGCCACCAACAGTCAACCATCTCTAACAGTGTGTCTACAGACATCCAACATACCAGTTCTAGCTTGCTGATATCACTGTGCCACCAACAGTCAACCATCTCTAACAGTGTGTCTACAGACATCAAACATACCAGTTCTAGCTTGCTGATATCACTGTGCCACCAACAGTCAACCATCTCTAACAGTGTGTTTACAGACATCCAACATACCAGTTCTAGCTTGCTGATATCACTGTGCCACCAACAGTCAACCATCTCTAACAGTGTGTCTACAGACATCCAACATACCAGTTCTAGCTTGCTGATATCACTGTGCCACCAACAGTCAACCATCTCTAACAGTGTGTCTACAGACATCCAACATACCAGTTCTAGCTTGCTGATATCACTGTGCCACCAACAGTCAACCATCTCTAACAGTGTGTTTACAGACATCCAACATACCAGTTCTAGCTTGCTGATATCACTGTGCCACCAACAGTCAACCATCTCTAACAGTGTGTTTACAGACATCCAACATACCAGTTCTAGCTTGCTGATTTCACTGTGCCACCAACAGTCAACCATCTCTAACAGTGTGTTTACAGACATCCAACTTACCAGTTCTAGCTTGCTGATATCACTGTGCCACCAACAGTCAACCATCTCTAACAGTGTGTCTACAGACATCCAACATACCAGTTCTAGCTTGCTGATATCACTGTGCCACCAACAGTCAACCATCTCTAACAGTGTG